CTTCTAATTTTATCTGACATTTAATTTTATTTTTATTGTTTTTATCGTCCTGCAGGTTCTGAGAGGAAATTAATTTGAAGCTGAGATTTTTTTAAAATAAAAATCGTTAGATTACTCTAAGCAAAATGAGGGAAAATCTGTGTCAATTAAAGACATTCTGTTCATGTGAGCAGCTGTCAATCAGCACCTGTCCTCCTCCAGACGCACGACAGAGCGTGTCTGAGCCAACCGTTTTTGTTGACATTGATCAGCTGACTAATTTAAATATATCTTAACATTCATGAGGTTCTTTGCATTGACTATTTATGGTTGAGTGTGGGCGTGTAGAGGGCAGAATGTGAGGCGGGACCTTGTGCGCAAACTCTGATGTGCTGCTGTGATTTATAAAGGAAAGATGCGCAGAAACGTGCGTATGCACGGTTTTATAAATCTGAATTTTTTTTGGCGTACGCCATTTCCACCTTTTGGCCGTACGTTCACTTTTAGTATGGTTTCCACGCAATCCTTTATAAATGAGGTCCCAGTGTCAGACATTTTTCGAAGGATCGTGAAACAAATCTATAATTTTGGATCACATGTCTGCAGTGTGAACATAGCCTTCGCTAACAAGCTGGACACTCAGCGGTTTGTATGATCAAAGAGTAAAGCTCGGAGAGTGGACCGCCTCTAGTTTCAGCCGTTCATCCTCGTAGCAGTAGAAGTTGATCTGAGTGACACCATGATCTGTTTTTCTTGGAGCCATAAAGAAAAATTGACACGTTCGGCASTGAAGCCACGCTGCCTGTGTGAAGCCGGTCTCAGGAGACACCATGCAGAGTTTACACAAAGCCATAGATGAAGATCAAAGAGGACAAATGCTTTAATCTTTCAGTCAAGAGCTTCTGAAAAAAAGCTTTCTTTGAGTTTATCAGTTGATCAGCAACCTGCTGCTACTTCCTGCTGTAATATCTGTAATGTATTACATGAGTTTACAAAAGGGCCTTCAGCGAAACAAAGTGAGACACAACCTTTAATCTAGAAAATGAAACTGCTTCACAAAACCCACTTGWAATGTTCAAATTTGCCTACAATGCTGGGAAGTGGTGTGATTTTATTTGTAGATTTATGGCTTCAAAATCCCCCCCGTCTGCCAGTGAGAAGCAGTGACTGAAAGAAATAAATCTAATGTGAAAGACACAGGAAAAGAAGCAAACCAGAGAGAAGAAGAAAGAAGAGGTGGGAAGCCGCAGTCTGCAGCGAGACACACCTTTCTTGGATCGCCTCGGTTTCGGMGGTGGGACGGGGCGACGAGGAAGYTGTGCGTGTGAGCGAGTGCCTTAATGGAGTTTTAGGGGCCAAAGTCAATAAAAGAAATGCAACCAAATAGAAAAAGGAGGACACAGGTGTGATTTTTTTTAAAAAGCAGACAAGACAAAGTTGATAATGAACAGGAAGCAGAGAGCACAATGAGAAACGATCGCAGCAGTGAGGACAAGTGGAAGTGAAAAGGTTAAACCATCTGCAAGTATCGCTCTGGGTAGAAAGCAGGAAACAGAAGCAAAGCGTTAGTTTGAGTTTACTGTTTGGCCTGTCAGCCACAAATAAAATCAACTCGCCACAAACTGGCATGAAAACACAACTAGTACCGATGAATGTAGATATTTTTGACTTTTATTACAACAAAATACAATTGAAACTATAAACCTTAAAAAAGAGCTTTTGGCCTCGTTTTTAACAAGTTTAAAAAATCTGATACCAGCTTTAATTACTCCGAATGACTCAGGTGTTTTTCCATCGAACAGGTTCCAGGACTAAACAAAGAGCTTCCTACCWGCAGAGGTGGGTAGAGTACCCAAACGTAAGACAACAYATTCTATAGGTAAAATTAGCCATCCAAGAAAGTACTCAAGTAGGAGTACAAAAGTATTACGTAAAAAGGATATGTGAGTACTGAGTAGCTGATCTGATTTAATATTTTAAAATGATGTCATCAGACTGATGAAAAATAAAAAGTTATGGGCAAATTCAGTTTTTTTGTAGAATAAAAAGGAAAATACATAATTAGAAAAATAACTAATTCTATAAAATTCCAATAACTAGTGGGCTAACGGCTTGATCCACATTTCATCCGTCGCAGTGTTCTTGGGCAAGACACTTCACCCACCTTGCCTACTGATGGTGGTCAGAGGGTCCGGTGGCGCCGGTGCATGGCAACCCCACCTCTGCACTTCACCCACCTTGCCTACTGATGGTGGTCAGAGGGTCCGGTGGCGCCGGTGCATGGCAGCCCCGCCTCTGTCAATGTGCCCCAGGCAACTGTGGCTACAATGTAGCTTACCACCATCAGTGTGTGAATGAAGTGTAAAATGCTTTGGAGTCCAACAGGACTTGATAAAGAGCTATTTAAGTTCAGTCCRTTCCATTTTAATTCTAAAAGTACACTTTTTTTCCCAACTGAGTAAATGTAACTAGTTACTACCCACCTCTGGYTAACAGGTTCTACAGAAACACAGCCAGGAACTGGTTTGATTCCAGAGAGAAACCAATGGTAAAAACATCAGAATAAACATCTTCCAGTAAATGTTTCATCTTTTCTCTGTTGGATCTAAGTTTCCCTAAAGTTTGTCTCTTTGACCCATTCTACACAACTCAAGAGTATTTTCAAAATCAGAGATGTTTTTGCTGCATGTGAACCTCACATCCATGTGCAAACAGTCTCAGTCTCAGAAAATATAAAAATTAAAAAAATTATTAACACTTTCCATTCCAAAGTAGAGAATTGTAACGGCTCCAATTTGGTGTCTGTGTGAACTTGACACACAAATTCATTTCGCACAGGTTCATTATTACTTTGTGCTCTAGAAACCAAAACAACATTAAAACAGGTTTTACCAGATGTTTGTCCTGAATCTGTTGCCAATAAACTTTGATCAAGTGGTGAAATAGTTATAAAAAAACTCAAAGAAAAAGGAGTTACATTTACCCCAGAAAGATTGCAACAAAACAAAGGATGCATTTTTTTTTCTGTATTTTGATGTCAGTGATGTGGACATTCTTATCTCCTTGTGATGAAACAAGAGTATTTCAGAATTTATATTAAGAGGTTTGGACTGAGTTATTTTATATAAATGCAAAAAAAGGAAGACAAATTACCTAAAATATTGATTAATTGTGTTTTAAAACGCATTTATAAAGTCTGCTGAAAACAGAGAATTATGGTTTGTGTCACGCTCTGACCAACTAAATGACCTGATGAGAGACTACAACTCGTGTTATTTCACTGTTAATTTAATGTCTTATTAATGCTTAATTCTTAATGTTTTAAATGCTTACAACATCCAGATAAAAGCAGTTTTTTTTACTCTGGTCTCGCAAACTCTGGTGCTAAGTTGTTGTTTTTTGTGCTGGAGTGTTTAAAGGGATCCATGATTAGTTATAACATTAGACTTTTTTTAATAAACATATATTTTAACTGTAAAATAAAGACAGTAAAAATTCTGTAGGCTGTTTGCTTTTTATAATTTTTAAACTAAAAGTTTAAAAATACATTACACGGACGGGGACATTTTTTTTACACGCAAAGCATTCTGGGTAAATGATGACGCGGATAGGTCCTCGGTGCGAGGCTGCTAGCGAGCTATATCCACCCTGAAGGTTAATCTTGGACAATATCTGATGATCGACTCTTTTAAATGAAACCAGAGAGCGTTGACAGAGAGGAGAAGGTAGAAATGACTCAGCATGCAACTGAAAATATGGATGGAGGACAACAGAGCTGCTTCATGGAAGAAGAACCTCAGCTTAGCCTGTTAGCTTTAGCGTTAGCCCCGATGCTATCACTATATATATGTATTAGCTCAGCGCTACACATTCTCCTCTCGTCACTGAGGTCCTCCATCCACATGACAGAGAGGGGAACGCAAAAACGACTCAGCCTGCAACTGAAAATATGGATGGAGGACCTCAGTTTAGCTTGTTATAGTTTRTCGTGCTAGCACCGAGCTAATACATATAAGGCAATATAGCGTTGGTGCTAGCGCAAAGACTAACAGGCTAAGCTGAGGTTCTTCTTCCATGAAGCAGCTCTGTTGTCCTCCATCCATATTTTCAGTTCCAGGCTGAGTCATTTCTACCTTCTCCTCTCTGTCAACGCTCTCTGGTTTCATTTAAAAGAGTCGATCATCAGATATTGTCCAAGATTAACCTTCAGGGTGGATATAGCTCGCTAGCAGCCTCGCACCGAGGACCTATCCATGTCATCATTTACCCAGAATGCTTTGTGTGTAAATAAAATGGCTCCGTCCATGTTTAAAATATATTTTAAAAAGTTTACAAAACTAAACAGCCTACAGTATTTTTACAGTCTTTATTTTACAGTTAAAATATATGTTTATCAAATAAAGTCTAATGTTACAACTAATCAGGGATCCCTTTAAGGGTGGAAACAGGAAGAGCTGGTGCTAAGTGAGCTCTGGTTCTTATTTAGCACTGGAACAAGATTGTGAGGGAAAAACCCTAACAACTAGAAACAAGGGAATCTCTCATTTAAATGAAAAGCTCTATAAGCTCTAATTTTCTTTAACATAAAGGCCACGTTGGGAAATGTTAACGTGCCATTTTCACTTACCACTTAAAACATAAAAAGCAGTGACTTCATGGACAAAGCTTTACAATTTACACAATGTAAAAAAAAACGCTTTGAGCAACAACATAATACAGCTGACAAATACTTTYACACACTGCCACGTACCGATCTTCTCCATGGAGGCCGCTGTGGGCAAGAAGCCCTGCTGCAGRAGCTGCTGCCGGGTCTCCTCATCCTCCACCTGGACCTCAGACACCATGTTACACGGCACATAGCCCAGACGCCCACCCGACTCCCCTCGGTAGAACCCGTCTGCATCTTTATCTCCGTACACCTGCCAAGCAGAGTGAGACAATGTATCTAAAATAGAAGACAGTGAATGCAGAAAACAAACTAAATAAACTTACTTTGATGATCTGGCCTTCGCTAAAGGGCAGTTCCTCCTCAGCAGCATCAGGATTGGGTGACATGGTGGCCGGATCGTAGGGGAAGAGAGCCACAAAGATGCGAACGTCACCATCGGCTTTCATCTTTGATTTATCTGGAGGCACACATGCAAATATACACTCATCCAGACCTGCAAGAGTTTCGTAGACAAATGATGTAAGAAAGGCCAACAGTGACCCAGCACCAAATAAACTGTAATGTTTGGTAGATTATTTCTTTGTTGTAAAATTCGCAGTTGAGCTATAACAAACCAACTTATGAAGTTTGTCCAACACTAAAGATGTCTACGCTGAAGATGGAACCATAGACTGGGCACCTGGGGGTACCTGAAGCTCAAAATAAGAGTCAATATCAACAGCAAAATAAGTTGTTTAGGAGAAGATTTGCCAAACGTTATGTGCACAACTCACTCAGTTCTACTCATCACACAAATGCATGTTCCTTACAACTGTGGCATCATTTAAAAGGAACATTCACAGGCTTTTCAAAGGTATCAGATTTATTRCAAAGAAGCATTGCTACAACAAAGAAAGAATCTACCAAACACACATTTCTTTACATTTTGTGATCAGTTTAGATCAGGCATGTCAAAGGCCAGTCCTCGAGGACCTGTCTCCTGCTCCAACCCATCTGATTCAAATATGTGACTTACTTTCTCAGTATATCATCAAGGTCTGCAGAGGCCTACTAATGAAGAACACCCTAGGTTCAGCTGTGTTGAACCAGGAAAACACCTCAAACATGAAGGACACAGACTCATGACGACTGACTTTGGACCCAACTGATTTAGATCAATGCCCACAAACTAAGTCAGTGGTTTCTTGCATGTATCTTAAAATAAATAAGAATGCAAAKGATTTTTAGTGACTAAAGGCTGATTTATAATTCCTTAATTACAGTCTTACATGATAAAAATTGCTTAGCTTCAATCTGTTACCTCCCGCTGACACCCTGTCCTGTACATTGCCTCCAGTCGTTGTCTTGCAGACCCATGCAGCTCGCAGTGCCTGACTGGCAAGAACTTTGTGGGCGTGTTTGTTTATGTGAAGCAGTGCTGAAAATGGTCTACTACAGTTTGTTATAATAGCAAGATGAACAGCTTTGAGGAGCAGCTCRTCTGATCGTACTGAACACACGAATGTGCAACTGACGTYAATGTCTTCTTTCTATATACGCGATTAACAAGAAAAAGAACTATATCTTCCTCCTGCGACTCCTCGTCCAACAACACAAGTCTCTCCTCAAAGGTCTGATACATTATCAAGTGAAAAAAAAACTATGTACGCTGCTATCACTGTTGTTTTTATGGTTAGCTATGAGTGACGTATGCTACATTGGGAGAGCTGTGGGAGGGATTAYGACGATTTATCACTCAAGTCTTTTACATAACTATTAAAAAATCTACTGTCTCATGTCTTGTTGAAGTATTTTACTATTCCGCTGACATTCTCCTGTTTCTGTCATGGTTTTCCATTTGCTACTCCTCCCATAGCTTTGGAAAAACTCACACAAGCAATGTGTTCAAACTTTCGGCTCAGTTGGGAACAGTAATGCTACGACTTTTAGCATCTTTTAGCATCTCTTAGATGTACTTTCTTTTAGTACATCTAAGAGACAAAATTTTCAAAAACGATAAAATATTTCCCACACAGACAACAATAGGATTTTAGCAAAATTATTGAGAAAACACAGCTTTCTTTGTCACCTTATAATGTTAGAAAAATAAGGCCCTAATTATTAAGGGTTTTTTTAGAAGTAAGCTGATATATGTTGGTGTTTCAGGCAGGAGCTGTTTTGGTAACCTTCCAAATTTCCATAAAAATGTTCCAGTTAACTCTGTATTTGATATTACAATGACTGTCAATATTCCCAGCATGACAGAGTGTGCAGAGAAAGCCTTGCTTTGCAACAAATCCTGCAGATAGTGAAGCCTGCGCTCCCCACCCCGCACTCACCCCCACATGTGCTGAGCTGCTATGAGCAGTGTTGGCCCAGCACCTGTTCTGTAAAGAGGTAATCAAGCTAAACCACTGATCCTAAGCTGTGCGAGCCGTTTGACAAACTCGTTCATGATCTGAAGCCGAGCCACAGAGGAAACCAGGGTTTGACTCAAATAGAACTGAACCAGGGGACAACTCTTCATAAAACAGCCTTCACACTGCATAAACAAGTGATGAGAGGCRGTTTTGAAACAGCACATTGCAGATCATGTATTGTAAAAGCAGCCTGTTCCTTTTTTTTGAGTCCTGTAGCACTAAATCCAGTAAGGCAGCATTAAGTATGACATCAGWGTAGCTACAAGTTCTGCAGCTGAAACATATATGACAGCATGAAACATTTTCYCAGAGCTGCAGTGAGGCTTAAAGCTGAACTCATCTCATTAGAGAGAATCAGTCCATGTGTGACAAAAGTCACGGGCAGACAACACGCAGGCTTTCACATCCTCACTCATTTTTTGAGTAGCTTGGACACTTCTCCCTTCCTGTGGAAGTGCGAAACACGAATGTGTGTAATGAGCTGTGTGTGAACGTGAAACAGAAAGGTCATGTCGATCAGATGCAATCTGTGGTGTTAGGCCAAAGAAGAAGAGAAATAGTGAGTGAGAGAAATGGCTGTGAGTYGGACGGTTTCTCTGCTGCCTAACTGAGGTTACTATTTTAATGTCTGTCACTTCCTCCTGTCATGACGAGCCACTTTGGGTTAAGCYGGTTCTCGGCTTAGCTGCCTTTCTCTTACTTCTCCACTGCAGCTGCAGAACTGCCTACTCCCTCCATTCCTCCTCCCCTTCGCTAATGCACAAGGTGCTAATCTGACAACCTTCATGTGAGGGGGATGGCTGCTGACAGGAAGCACAAGCACCTACAGTTCCACTGCAGCAAGACGAGAAAGAGGAATGAGGAGAAAAGCTCTAACCTTTGAGTGGAGCAGCCTGTGAGCTAAACTCTGCCTGGCCTCCTCTTGACRGGCCTGAAACAGCTGAAGGAATCTGGCTTGGCTCCTGTTCAAAACACAGAAAAAGAAACTTTAGCTGCAGCAATCTTAGCAGAAAGAGAATAAAGTCTGTGGACTGTAAGCTACTGAAGAACAAAACACTACGGACTAGTTTTTTTGGGGAAAAAGCTTGACGTATTAAAGAGCAGGAGACAAGCAGTGGGAGCAGGAAGAGGAGGGAAAGATTTATCTGGAGGACCTGCATCACAGCGGTGATGAAGATCAACATGTTTCTGTTTAGTGAAGTGGAGTTAGCTGCTGTTCAGGASTCAGAAGAGGTTAAATCTGCACAGATACTGGGGGAGGGTGGGACAACACAGCCGCTGCAGCTGCTCTGTARTTACCGTTGATTCAGCTCTCGCTCCTCGTCGGTGTGCTGCTCTGCCGTGCTCCACCTGAGCCCCCTCCACCCACCACTCAGAGCTCGTCTGCTCCATCACCGCCTCCCTGCCGCTGCAGCCCACAGGCTCCTCGCTATCAGTACCGTACTCCACGTCGATCTCCATCCCACCGCCAGCGGCAGACTTCACAGTTTGCGCTGTTTTGGGGTAGTTTCTGGGTGTGGTAAGGTCTTGGTCCGGGTTGGTCACTGCGGCGGCAGCCATCTGACTCCTGAGCATGGCTGCCCTTCTAAGGCGGTCCCCGAGTCCTTTGAGCAGGGATCTTTCTCTGCCGTTGGGGTTCAGAGTGGGAGGACAATGGGTTGAGACCCGCCTGCTGGTAGGATTTTCATTTTCAGGGTAACTAACASCGTCAGCGTAGTGCACCCTGTGAAGTGTCTTTGGTTTGACCTGCAGGGGATCGTGTCTGACTGAAGGCTCTTTGGTTACAGGCTTGGAACGATGATGATGATGATAATGATGATGAGGGGGGACAAGTGAGTGTGGGTGGGCCGGGTGTGTGTGAGGCTGAGGAGCATGATGAAGAGGCTYGGAGCTCCTGGACTGAAGGTGGCCGAGTCCTGGCCGAAGCTTCCTGCGATRACCTAAAGGCTCTTCTTGACTGCTGTCTTCCTCCTCCGTCACCTCAGCAATACTAAACAGCTGCTTGCTGTGAAGGACCTGAGGAGGCAACTTGAGGATCCTCTCCAGGATCTCCCCCTCGCTGTCTGGTGTGTCTAACTTACATGACTTCAGGGGGARCGGTTTCAAACAACCAGGAATGGATTGATGAAGGTTGGATGAAATATTGKTCAATGAAAAAGAATCACGCAAAAAGAAAAGAGGAACAAATGAAAACAATAAATCATGAAAACAATCAAAAACAGGACAGAAATCAAAATAAGATCAAAAAAGCAGAAGCTGCTAACTCATATCTGTAAACTAATAAATAAATGCAGACACAAAAGCTTCACATTACAGTGCATGAATTACTGTMTTTTACCCTGCTGCCTCCGATGGTGTAACCTCTGGCCTGGACTTGTCCGAGGTGGTCCGAGGAAAGGTCTTCTTCCTCCTCTTCCAGGATGTCTGACAGGTCTGAGCGGCTGTTGTCTGCGTGGTAGTCACTGAGAGGCTCCACAGCTCCTCTGCCATAACTCTGCAACAAAATAATACATCATCGTACTGATCTAAATATATACAGTTTGAATTTCTACATTTATCTCCATTGTACAGTGGCCTGCTAAATAATCCACCCTCCTCTACACTTTTCTGTGTTGCTGATTTTGTAACCTGGAAATAAAAAATAAAAACATTTTGGGGGTGGTTGTAGACTATAAAACATCCCCATATGGTGTATTTTATAAAGGTCTGTGCCCACATAGCAGACAGGTGTGGGTCAGACAAATTCTGCAACGTGGGYATCTTATAATCAAAAAAATCCACACAAACTCCAGGTTGTAAGGTTACAAGATAGGAAAAACATAGATACAGATACTCAGTATCAGTATTGGTGGCAGATATGGCCATTTTTTGAAAATCGGGTAGAATTGGATTTAGTCGTTTGATCGGGCCGATCCAGTTTTCAGCATCATCATGCTTTACAAGTGCCGTTAAGAAGTCAAGACGCACAAATATGCAACCATGTCCACAGTGTGGGAACACTTTTCAATGGAAAACAATGATGCTGAAACTGCATCTCTCAAAATCTGCAAACTGGATGTTTCTCGTGGTGGGAACAGCAGGGCTCGCTTTAACACTACCAACCTTGTCACTTGGAAAGAAATAAAAAAATAAAGCTATTGGTATTGGAAAGACTAATCATTAAAAAATCTGATTGTATCGGGGAAACAAAAAATCTGGATCGGAACATCCCTATTAAGAGTAGGGGTGTACTGATACCGATACYAGTATTTCTACCTTAAATTGTGTCATTTTAAGTCTACTTGCATCTAAAACTCCACATAATAAAGAGAAACTTTCAGTCAAAACAAACMGCTCAGAGATTTTAGAACTTTTAGCCAATCAGTGAGCTGTCTAGCTTTAATATTTGGCTCTTTGATTGGCCAAAAGTTCTTTTTTTATTAAATATCTATATTATGAGTGAACTTGTGTGCTAAAACCAATGAGATGGACTAAAACAGTTTAGTGGTGAAGAGTCAGGCTGACCTGCTGCCTCCTGCTGTAAACTGGCTCCTGGTCCTGTCTCAGGAACTCCTCGATGGACACCAGGCGAGTGTTCTCCAGCTCCTCCTCCACCTCGGACTCTAGCGGTGAGGTGCTGGTGGGTCGGAGGAGGTTCGTGCTCGGAGGGTTAAGGAGGTCTGTGATGGGGGCTTTGGGTGGGGAAGCAACGCGCTCGGGGGTGACGAGCTTGGCACCGGGGTCTTCGATGAACTCTGTGATGGACGGRAAAGGACGTATCGTTTCCGGGCTGTCGGTGTCTCTGCGCTGATCYAACACAGAAGATGGTGCTACAGCCGGCACTGGAGCTGCTGCCGCTGAAGATGGCAGAGGTGTTGTGTTGATGGGGGAGGTCACGTTAACCTGAAAATAACAAAATATGAYGCTTTTTGACATTTATTCATTCAGAATACAAAATGCTTAATAAATGTTACCTTACTGTATGATAGTTAGTTATTACGCTGCAGTTTTTTGTCATTTTAGTCCATAAATGTTTCCATTTAGCCAAAAAAGCAGAATAAAGCCATGCAGAACTAACAGTTTCTTCTTACAGTTTACTAATAACAAAACAAACAAATTACTCAACAACTCAGAAAAGTACCAGGGGATGGAATCATGAGTTCATWCTGTTGTCTTTGTGATTCCTAAGAAATTTGTTTTGACTGTTCACATAAAAAATAAGATTAAAAAAGGAACGTTCGTTTTTTTTCCCCTCTGTGTCTGAGAAGTTTGAGAGATATTAAGACAAAAATTGCTGTAGGGCTGGTGCAGATGGATCTCTAACATGCGACTGTGGAGGTTTATGAAAAGGTTCAAAAACAACCAGACTTCTAATCTGAAGCTGAACTGAGAAGTCCAGTTGTTTTGTTTTTTAACCTTTTTTGACAGATCATGACCTGGATCTAATCTATCTAATGATTTAACATCTCAGCAGAAAACATTTCATTTATTAAAATCAGAGTGAAACCAGCATCATGCAAAGCATATCATTAAATATACAGTATACCGTAATCGTATAACAGTAACGTTATATAATCTAACAAATTAACCGAGAGCTAAACGAATGCTCGTAAATAACACTTGCAAAAAGCTAATTAAAGGTGGAAATTTGTTTGCAGTTTGTGTACCAAATATGTTCAATGTTGGACAGTAAAATTAGAAAAAATAAACGAGGGAATAARAGTAAAAGAACATCAGAATTCAGAGTTTGATGGGCAGGCTTAAAATTCTGCAAAATGTTTTTCAACATGTCATTTCTTTAATATAAAAAAAGCTTATTATTTTTGGTTAATAATAAAGTGACAGATGAAAATTAATCACCATCAGTAATTATGCACTAATTTCCCCTCTCATGTCATTTAAAAGAAAAGTGAATTAAAATCAATCTTTGACCAACAAGAACAAACAAGTTGAAGCTTTTATGTACAGAGTGACAGCAGAGACAGCCTTACCACTGGAGTGATGGTGGAGGCTGYTTCACACGCAGCCAAGGCAGCAGCAGATGAGGGGTGGGCCCAGGCTTTCACGTAGGAGGCGGAGGACAGAAGATCTTCAGAGCAAAGAGCATGAGGCGGGTTGGCAGCACCTTCGGCCGTGTGGCGAGGCATGTGTGTGTCTGATGGCAGCACAGAGACTTTGGCAGTGGAGTTTCTGTAGGACGGCGGCGGGGATGAGTTACTGGGCGTTCGGGAGCTGCAGGGCAAGGGTGGCACAACTGTGGTGGCTACGGCTGGGCCGGCCATGATGGCAGCCAGCTTGGAGGGCACGTTTGCTGGCAAAGAGTCGCAGGACTCCCCGTGGGCGGACATGGTGCGGACAGTGAGCTCCTGAGCTGCCTGGAGAGACTGGATCTGAGATGGGCCCAGCAGGGCACTGCCTGCTGTAGGAGAGGCCACCTCCAGTACCTTGGATGAATAAATAAACACAAAATTTAAAAGCATTCTTAAAAAACAGTTAGGCCATTTAGAATGACAWGTTTTCCACAGAAACATGCTTCCAATATTTTCTGATTTACTGACAGAGTTTATTTTTCAATGACTTAATGAAACACTTTTATTTCAGCTGTTCTTGCCTTCTTTTTGTCAGCATATAAGGTGTATCCAGTGACACGGACTCCGTTGGAAGTCCCGGCAGCGTCGATGGTGACGGGCAGCCAGCTGATGAGAGCGATCCCTGCAGAGGGTCCGGGCTCCAGCTGCACGTCCAGAGGAGCATCGGGGGGACCTACAGTAAATAAAGCCATTAAACTGTGGTGGAAAAGTTTATGGAAGCTAAAAAAGACGGGCTGATTAGCTTGAACAACATCCAGGGAAAACAATGATCAAGCTAGGTACGCAACTCTACCTAGAACGCTGCCAACTACGACTTTAATAAAAAAAAAAAAGACAAAAAAAGGTCAAGTACCTGCATTCCCAGGCTGTGGGCATGAAACTTCAACAAATTTAAAAGATTATTTATAACAAATATTATTTAAAAAACTGATGATCATGTTGACTGTATGTTGTATAAACTTTATGATTCATTAAAAACATAAAATGTTGAAATCTGGCATGAAAATAAAATTCAGGATCTAAAGCAGAGCAGCAGCAGACAGTGACTCAGCTGAAAACGTTTAGCCTATATTCATAAGGAACTTTGTTTTCTCTGTTTTACACAAAATCTTACAGCAATTATTTGAGATATAAAAATAAAAATGACCCCAATGATTTAATGAATTTAGTAGCGGTCATATGTTAGCAGAGAAAAAAAACTAAAGCCTGAGTACACATCCTTGAGGTGCTCCCTAGCTCATAATGATTGAATATTACTACCAACACAGTGTGTTAAATCAATGTTTAATAGTGTTTCAACAATGCACTTTGTGTCCACACCACACTGTGTAAACACCAGCTCTGCATTGAACTTACCACAAAACCATTGTAAGTTACTTTARCCAAATCCATTTAACCCTCTGAAGACAGAATATTGGCCATCCCTGACACAAAACATGGGCAGCAGTGATAAATWAAATAAAATTTGAGTTTGCTGAAACCACTGCCATATCTGTGTATGGCCACAATAAAAAACGGCTTGAGGCGAATGCTTGCAGACAAACCTTTGTTGAGTGTTTGAAATGGATTTTGGTCTCGTTGTTTCATTAAAAGTAAATAGTAAAGATAACAAAATWATTGGGAGCACAACAGAGAATGCTTTTATTGATGTGTCTTTATCTGAGATTTGCAATTACTTTAATTTTCATTATTAAAGACCAAATCCTCAATTAGATGCTGAAATACATTTGAGGCAACTWAAATTTACATGATCCAAACTTGTCTAAATTAAACGTCTGATAGAATTCATTGTTGGGTCAAGAAAACAGCATCTCAMTCAGACAACAAGTAACTGACCTGCCATCAGTGTGGTGAAGGTGATGGTRGCGCTTCTGTGTTCCCGTCGCTCCACAGGTAACTCCCATGGCGTGCGGTGCGGCCGTGCCTCCACCTTGACTGTGTACTGCAGGCTGGGCAAAAGGTTACTGAGGCACAGCGAGTAGCAGCCAGCCTTCACCAGCTCACACTCTTCATCATTCAAGGACACAATGTGCACATAGTTGCTGTTGCTGGGCAGCCAGGTGAGGTTGGCAGAGGTGGCGGTGATTCTGTCCACAAACAGCTGCGTTGGAGCCACGCTGACGTCCCGGCCGACCAGCAGGCTGCAGCGGAGCTTGTCTGAGAGGCCTTTCTCCGTCATGCTCTGGACTGACACGCGGTAGGCTTTGAGGTTTACGTCTAGCCGCTCCAGCACCGCTTTGGTCTGGGCACCGAAGGGCACGCTGAGCCGCAGCTCCTGGTCCACGTACACGTTATAACTCCACACGTTGCCCCACCCGGCCGGCACCAGCGGAGGGTCCCAGCCAATGATTATGCTCTTGGCAAGCTGCTTGATGAGGGTGAGTTTACGTGGGTAAGGCACAATGTCCACTCCCACCTCCTCCAAATCCAAGTCCAGGCCGTTGGTGAGGGGGGCCGCGACTGGCAAGGCCGACACTGATTCTGAGAGGGCTGAGTGGGGGCTGGAGGCCGCTGAGRCCCCTGTCCGGTCTGAGGCAATGACTCCCGTGTGGAGGTGATGCTGGTGGCTGGCACTGTGCAGGCTGCTGTCTAGCAGGGAGTTGTGGGACACGTCCCCCATCTCTGGATGATGAGAGCTCATCAGATCGTCGTCCGACACTCGTTCAACAAAGTTGGAGGGAACCAGCCCTCTCCGCCCATCCATCAGCTCCCCTGAGAGGAACCACAAGCAACACRCTAAACCTCCTGGAAATATTTACTTTAACCTGCARGAACAGATAATCAAAACCAGAGTTACCTTCGTAGAAACCATCATCGTCCATGTCTCCGTATACATAGATGTACTCCCCTGCAGTGAGGGGTAGCTCCACCTCTGGGTTGTCATTTGGGCCATCGTAAGGATTGTAGCTGATTAAATGAAAAGTTAATTATAATATAATATAATATAATTCRGAGTCAACTCTGATATGATTTTCAATCTTACCTGTATCTTGCAATAAAAACTTGAAGCTTTGGAGCTGCTCTGCTRGCTGTGCAAGGTGCCGGAGCAATGTCAATGTCCAACTCCTCCACTTCACTGGCAGTGTCCACCTGAGGGCGGCACAAAGGGCAGGACGGTCATTAAACAGGAGCTCTAACACACGAACAACACACCTGTGATGAGAAACATTAAAAAATGAAGGTGTATTCATCTTGTTGGTTCTTTTTGTTGCTTTACAGATTCAAAGTCATTTGGATTTTTATTTTTTTGTCCATTCTTCCTGACCAAACAGCTACAGCTTCTTCAAGTTGGTGCAGCACTCTGAAGTGAGGTCTGGACTTTGGACCGCTGCAGGACGTTTAACTGGTTCTCCTTAAACTGCTGGAGTGCTGCTTCAGCTCTCTGGAAGACTCAAAYTGGTTTTCCTTATCAATCTTTCTATACTTTGCTCCATCCATCTTTCCTTTTCTTCTGACCAATGTTTCATGTCTGCTGATAGTGTTCTGAGGGTGATGAGAGGTGTTACGTTTGATCCATTGTTGGTCTTTAGTGGCGAAAAAAAGTCTATCATCTCCTCTCACATGTTTGATGAGTCTCAGATATGTTTATTTGGAAAATATTCCATTAAGCCCAGCTTTGTGAAGCTTTTTGTGGTCCTATGAAAAAATACTCCTGTCACTGCAGAATAGTTGCCCATTTATTTAAAGATATTTTTGACCTCCAGGTTGCTTCTTTGATTAATGCCCTCTTTGCCTGGTCTGTGAGTTGTGTCTTAGTGTATTTGCTGAGGTAGCACAATATTTCCATTTTCTAATAATAGATTTCATAAAGAATCATGGGATGTTCATGGTTTTTAGACATATTTCATAACCAAACCCTGGTCTGTACAAAGCTTTGTCTCTAACCTGTGTGAAGAGTTCCCTGGTCTACATGTCTCTTATATGGTGGATGCCACATGGTGAAATATGCTGGTAGCCACTTCATTGTAATGGTTGGGTTTCAAAGCAAAGACTGTGGTGACATGTGAACGCACTGCTTTTTATTTTTATATATTTTTTAATTTAAAATACTTTTTTCCCTTTTAACTTCATTATTACATCTAATTTTAAAAAATCCTATTAAATTTTAGATTGTAAAGCAATAAAATGGAAAGATAGCAAGGAGGTAATAAATTTGAGGTGTAACTTCTTGAGTGCAAAATATAAACTTTTCTGTAATACAGAATTTATTTATTTATTTATTTATTTATTTATTTATTTATTTATTTATTTATTTATTTATTTTTGGGGTTGCTTCGTTCTGCAGGGATCTCAATTGCAAGCAAAACCTTAAGTCAAATCCACAGCATTCCCATTATGAGACCGTGACACTGACCACCAAGCTATTAAATATTATTTGAATGCAGTATCTAAAAACAYGATAAAAAGAACATGAAGCAAAAAACAGTAAAAATAAAAAAAAACAGTGTTTTATATTGTATTGGGTTTGTTATAAATTGGATACTAGTATATTGATACCTGCTATGTTTTTAAAACAGTTTCACAGTACAGTATGAAACAGGGAGTATTTATAGCTCCCTGGGAAAAGATAATCACCAACAACTACTACTGTATAACCTTCATAATCCTAAGTGCCAAGTGGATTATCTCACTACATATGAGCTTTAAGGGTTAACAAGTGACCAGATGAGACCACCACCAATGATCCTGACTTTTTAGAGGCAGCAGAAGTCGAGGCAGCGGAACCCTAAATATTCATCTTAAGTCCATGTGAAAAGCAAGYGCTTGCATAATCAGCTCTGCTCTGTACTTGCATCAGATGACAATCAGGTTAAGAAGGTTTTTAAATCCATTAAATCCACACAAACAATGTGACATGCATGGTTGTCTTGGAACTCTTGAGGTATCTGCGTGACTGCGAACAACGATGAAAGATGAAAAATACAACAAACTTACAATCAGAAATTAGAATTAACCATCATCTATCATCAGATGTAAGCTCATATTTTAAGGCTTTTATAATATGCAGCATTTTACTACCACTTCTTTACTTTCTTTAAGCTTTAAGAAAAGACAGGTGTTATAAATACTGTTACAACTATGACAACTGGAAAAAAAATGCAGGTTAGCATTTGCTAATTTCAGTCAGCTGCTCTGTATTTACAACAACAACTGAGATCAACCTGCATTTAAAGACATGACGTCTAATTCATTTTGACAAAGTTTTTTTTAAATCAATGGCTACTATTAATATGAAGGTCAATATGGAGGTGACCTGTAATCACAACATAGGTGCGACATCAGTGTTCCTGATTTACGAAACAAACACAAACACAAATTCTGTGCTAACAAAGCACGAGTTTTTGTAGCTACAGCCAAAACTTTTAGCAATAGAAAAAAAAAACAGTGTGCAAACTCTGGCTCTGACTCAGCATTGAAGGACTGGTTTTCCAGTAAAGGTTTCAGGGTTCCAGAAATTGTGGTGGTACTGGGCCATTAGGGCTAATGCCAATACCCTGAATCCAAGTCTAAAGTCAGGACTGGCTAACCTGGGCCGGGCCTTGCAGTGCAAAAAGACTTAGATTTAGCACTTCCTGTGCAGCTTGGGGTCAATTTCATTAGGAAATTCATACTTTTTATGAAATGTCCATACTGACAACCTGACAAAAGCAAATGTGATAAAATAACATTTGTGTGAACCAATATGAAATGTTTGACACTGGTTTTAGCACAGATACTCCACTTTGGTTACGGTCCCATTTGGACGAGCCATTAGCTCAATAATGGGATCAGAATTTAACTTTTTACATCCAAACTGAAGTTGTTCAAACAGGAAATAAGATTCATTTATTACCTTTCTACAAAACCTTAGACAAAGAGCTAAACTTGTCCTTTGATAACATTTAGCCTTATTCATACAGTGATATAGACAGGGTTTAATTTCAGTGTGAACTCCTCSGTGTTTCTAAATGAAAACTAAAAGAAGGGGAACAAGTACCTCGTGTGTGGGGCTTGATTTGTGTGGACTGAGATGGGTGTCAGACTTCGGGGTGTGGTGAGCGGTCTCTGACTTGGTGGAGGAAGACTTGCTGACGCTGATTGTGGGCAGCTCTCGATGCTTGGTGACAGGCGAGCGCTCCRCCCTGCAGAGTCCTGCAGCGTGGGGGGTGGAGCCTAAGCGCAGTGCAGCGGCCACATCTAGCAGGAGAGAGGAGGAGAGTTCACTCTCCATATAACTGAGCCGTGCTGCTGGTTAACCTGGATGACCGTGACTGGTCAAATGGGTGAGATCGTTGGTTCACATGCATTAGGCTCAAGGTTGAATATGGCTGATTAAAACAGTGGAGGCAGAGACGGAAAAAAAAAAAAAAGTAAAAGAAATCCTGTCTCCATCTGTTTGAAGTCAGAGGTCACACTACCTGGTGTCGCACCAACAGAATTAAGGGGCTTAGCTGGTTTTACTCTCTGCAGAYGTTTTGCCCTTCATTCTGTGACTCTCATCGTCATGTGCTGATGAGATCTACAAACTCTGCTTCAGAATGATGGTGGAGGTGAGATGAAGGGTCAGAACATGCTGTGCAACACATAGCATGATTAACAGAGACACAGAGTGGGCCGATCAGATCATTACCCTCAGGGCAGGAGAGAGGGTCACCTCCCTCAAGACTCCAGAAGGCTATCTCACCCAGAGACACCAAATCCAAAGTGCCATCAGTGCAGTCTAGGGAGAGGAAAGGTACGGGCTAGATTTACATTGTTCTTACATTTAAAGCAGTGAGAGCTGGGATTAATTCAACATGAGGTTTCTACAAATATCACTTGTTAAACACAAGAGATTAAGGGGATCTGAACCTCACTGATATTCAAAAACTAAATCCAAAAAAGGTTTAAAAACAAARCAACTGTTCTGTTCTGTGGCTGAAACAAGTCTGCTAAGCCACAGGACAGAAATCCATTTGTGTTGTGGATTTATCGGGTCCTAGATGATTGAGAATCGACACCAGCCACTTCAAAAAAGACAAAAACAATTTAATATTCAACATCAGCCCATGTTTTCTTACTTAGTGTACTGATACACTTAAATMAGCACATCTGAACTTTGGTGTCATGGTTTGATACAGGCTCAGTAAAATGGGAAAAACAAACAAATTTAAACTAAAAGCACTTCCAGAAGCGGAAGTTGAAAAAAAAACAAACCATCATTGTTAGTGGGAAGGTTGTAAAGTAACAAATCGTGTAAAGAAAGATAGGATTTGTCAACGTCTGCAACATAAAAAACATGTCACTTTTATTTAATTTGCTGCATAATTAGTATCATAGAGGCCATGAGTAAAACAACAAAGTGATAAACACCAAAACAGAAAAAAGTACAAAACATGGTTTTAAAGAACTGAATAACATTTATCTACAAAAATACATAATATCATTCTTGCTTTACTTTGTTGTTAAGAGCTTTAAATCGTATATTCCTTCACTCCTTTTTCTACGTGACAATTAGCAGACCACAACTTGTGTCATCTTCTAAAGTAAATAAGAATATTTTATTCACAAGTGAAAGGTTTTGTTACACTGCTTCCTTTCATTGTATATAGATTTTTCTTATTTTGTTTTAACGTATGGATAAATTAAGATAAATAAATGAGTTTAGGTGGATAATTAAGTGAACATAATCCTTTTCTGATAGCACACACGGACCCTGACATTATTATTGTGACAGTTTGACGATAGTACAGGTACCATTACACACTGAATGCTTACTATYTAAAACACAACCAGAGGCTTTTTACCCTACCAGTGTTATTACTTTCAATCTTGTGTTTGTAAAAARCAAACTGCTGTCAGCTGCTCACCTCTCTCTGAAGTCAGCCCCACCCCGTTGGCCAGAACTGACAGGCTGGGATTGCTGAGGAGGCTTGAGCTGGCCAGGTCCACTTTTGAGGCCTGCAGGCGAAACTTCTCCAACTCTTGGGACAACAAGCCAAACTGTTCACTCTGACTGCGGCATTTCTCCTCCAGGTCTCGGACCTTTGACTACATGCAACAAGGAGAACACACATTCAAAAAATAAAACAAAAATACACAGTGACGAAAGGATGACTGGAAATACAGTATCCACCTTTTAACACCATATGAGCCAGAATCAATCCAATTGTATGTAAGCAGAATCTGACTTGTGGAGTCACAAATTTTCCTTTTTGACTTTTATRAATACACAAAAGTGATACAAATTTTGTTTTAGTTACTGTATTCAGACCCTCTTTACCTTTATGCAATGTATTGTTTCAGCAGATACTTAAATCATTTATTTTTTCATTAATCTATAGTCAATACCCCATCATGAAGAATACCAGATTTTTTTTACAACTTTCTAAATGTACTTGAAAAGAAAAACTGAAATATCACTTCAGACCTGATCTTTAGTTCAGCTGCCTCTCATTTCATTAAATCACCAGTGACGTCTCCACACTTCAGTTCCGTTCGATGCAGTTTATTTATACAGCGCCAAGTCACAACATACGTCCTCTCAGGGCACCTTTACAGTCCACTTTGTTTAGACATAAGACAGGCCCACGTATCTCTTTAAAAGTGCTCCTAGCTGACATTCGGAGCAAAAACCAATCAACCTTGTTTTAGGTTTCTGRTTCTAAGRATTTTGGTGAAGAAAGAGCCGAGTCGAAAGGCAGAGYTCTCGAGTTACTACTCTGCGCTCCAACCCTCACCTGTGGTCATGAGGTGTGGGTAATGACCACARGTGATACAAGCTGCCAAAACRAGCTTCCGTTATAGGGTGGCCRGGCTCAGCCTTAGAAATAATGTGAGGAGCTCAGTAGAGTCGCTGCTCCTCTGCATCRAAAGGAGTCAGTTGAGGTGGTTCGGGCACCTGATGAGAAAGCCTCTTTTTAGAGATGTTCCAACCAYGTCCCGCTGGTAGGAAGCMTCGGGGAAAAGGAGGGATCATGYACCCTCTCTGGCGTGGGAACACCTCGGGGACCCCCAGGATGAGCTGGAAAGTGTCATTTTGAATTAAAAGGGTAATATATCTGTAAATAATTACTTCTTACACTGTGTTAATCAGAGCCACAACTTCTCTGACTTATTTAATTTTTGAGTTTGTCRCTATTTCAGAAAATCCATTACAGTGCTTAAGGGCAGAGTGGCTTAACCAAATTATCTCAGTGCAAAAGACTTGAAAGCCCTGAAGGACTCCCAAGCTGTAAGGAACAACATCCCCTGGTCTAATGATACTAAGTTTGAACTGATGGACTCCAGTGGGGTTCAGCAGCAGGGACTATAAGACTGATCAGAGTTGAGGACAAACTGAGTGAAGCCAATTATATAAAAACCTGTTCCAGAGTTCAGGGTTTTCAACTGTGAGTATCCAGACTTGAACTTCTCTGGACAGACCTGAATAAGGCTGTCTACAGAAGGTACCCGTCTAAACAACTGAGCGTAAAAAGACTCTGAGGAAAATTTACATTTGAGGCAAATTGATTTAAACCCAAAAACATTTGACTAATTGCATCTGTTTCAACTTATGATGGAGAATAATTTGTRGAGAGGTGATATTTCAGTTTATAACTGATTTAATCCTGTTTTCACTTTGTCATTACAACACACTGAGCRTAGGGTAATGCGGGAAAAGGATATAAACAGTTGTGGCATCAGATCGCAACATGGCAAAGCGGTAAAAAGGGTGTGAAATACTTTCTGAAGCCACTGCTGGTGTCTGAAGGTGGAATTTCCCTTAAATCAGTCACGTGAGGGAGTAAGCAGTGTAAAAGTTAAAACCACAGCTGTTGTCTTGCAGAAACCGTTCACACGACAAGCTTTTTTTAAATTACYGACAACCATAAATTTCACAGGTTCATACCAGTTTTAGCAGATAAAAACAAACATGGTGTTTCATAATGGATTCAATGATTACAGTGAGGTTTCTGCAGAACAGACCAGTGTCACTCAAACGTTTGTTAAAAAAACACAACTCCAGGATCAGAGGACAGAAAAGGAGAGACGTCTAGTTAAACAGAGTGGGATAGTTTCCTGTTTTGATGGAAACCAGGGGCAAAATGCTCATCAGGAAACTTGTTACAGATTCTGAGACGCTGCGCTGCTTCTGTCTTACTAAAACAAAATAACGTTTATTTGGCAGAACTCTGCAGGCGTGGGTGCACGGCTCTGCTCCAGCTTCACTTCCGGCTGTGGTGGGAAGTTTTCTAGCAGGCTGGTCTGACTGAAGCGGCTGCGTGAAACTGAACATTTCCTGTCGACTGCAAACAGCATCAGTGATCTAAAATGGACGGGCAGAATGATCTCATAAAAAAACAGCAATCTGATTTTAGTTTTTAGCACAAAAACGATATGAGCAAAAACGATGAACTTGGTCGATGTTGTCAGTGCAGCTGGAAGTGATAACTGTGTCACAGATCTGTTTTCTGACCTCGGGTCAATGACCTGGTTAAATAATACTTTGGTAAACCAACACTACTTCACAAGAAATGCAACTAGGCTTGTAATTCCTACGTGTAATGCAGCTACAGACACAAAACAAATGTGTGAAGGGATTAAATCAAAGAAGCTGGGGTCTTGTTTTCTATCTGAATCATATTTCTTTTATTTGTTTTTTTTTGTGGGGGGGGGTAGGTAATATAAAGTACCTGCATGCAGTCCAGTGTACTCTGGTTAGCACGAAGAAAGCACAGGAAAGAACAAAAACAAACACATGCTTGTGAAATAAGACATATTAGGAAAGCATATTATCATATTAGGAAACAGCAGAATCACTAGAACGTCTCTTGGCCCTCAGCAGCCGACGCCTGCCGCTCAGGTAAACACACACATAAAAAGCCCAGGCTCTYTGCAGGGAAAAGAGACTTTCTCCTGTGATGATTTGAGTTTAAAACAGAGAGGCAGAAAGTGAGAGAAAAACAAGAGGAAGGAAATGAGCAGTTTAAAAAAAGAAAAAGAAAAAAAAAATCAAACAAAGGAGCAGCTATACTCTACCAGCTCCCTCTGCAACACAAGCTGAGTCAGGTCCTAAAATAAAATACACGTGGCTTAAAACAAAAAGCACCACCAATGACAGAAATATGTCTGTGGGGATTCATGCTTCGATCGATTATCTGACGTGTTTTTGAGCTTTTTCAGCTTTCGTCTGGATTTAGCTTCATTCAAAGTTTGTTAGGATCGAGCTTYGAGCCAGCATGAACGACACGCAGCAAGAGAGAAGACATCCATTTGGTTTTCCTGACCTGGTTGTACTTCAAAAACAGCTTCTCAGTGATGGATCAGCTGTTCGCTCATTTCATTAAAGCTGTGCACTGATAAATACACAAGAAGTCTCTTTACTCCAAAAGAATCTGAACCTCTGGTTTGTGTGATTTTGCCAAACACTCAAGATTTCTTTTCTTTAAAAAAAAGAGTGATGGAATGACCAGGAATTCTTCTGGACATTTCAATTAAAAGAACATGTTTATGGAATAATGTTGATATTGATCTTAAAACATCCAGAATAATTAATATGTTTAAATTGATGATATAAGGACATAAACTGTTGTTCAATCAAGATGTTTTTGTTTTTATTTCAAAGTCTAAATCTGTAAAACATGCATTTTATTACTGCTTGAATTTATTTTTGGGAATWAAGGAGTAGATTTATTAAAATTTGTTCTTCTCTCCGCTTCCTTTCATTTCATTGTATACGATTTTTCTCATTTTGTTTTAATGAAAGAATAAATTAAAATAAATAAATGATTTTAGGTGGATAATAAAGGGCAGAATTTGAATATGATGTCATCATTTATTTTTCTAGTGTGAAGGCATGCTAGTGTTACACAAACTCACCTCCAGCATCTGAACCACTCCTTCATGCTCTCTCTTGGCAAATAACTGAGCCTAATAAAAACAAAAATATGTGAAAAAAGTCTTTAAAAAATGAGAGTGGGGAAAGCTTTGCTGACGACGTCAGAAGGTTGCCTCCTGCTGGACAAAGTGCCCTATTCACTTTCATTAAAAAGGCTCTAGCTTCAAATAACTTGTCAACATGCAAAGTGTCAAAGCTGTTGTGTTTTTACCCGCTGTAACCGTTTGATTTCATCCTGTTTGAACTTGAGGATAGCCAGTGCCTGCTCATGTTCCAATTCCAGCTGCTGCCTTCGCTCGGCGACCTCTCGCATGTGCTGTCCAGAAAAAAAAAAAGAGGGGGAAACAAATGTGAGGAACATGAAGAGCAGTCAACGTGAGAGGAATCTGACTCCTGCAGTACCTTTAGGACCTGCTCTAGGTTCTCCAGTTTGGCACGGAGTCTTTGGTTCTCCTCGAGAACTGAACTGTGTTGAGCGGTCACTTCAGAGAGGTCTTCCCTCAGCTCCTCATTCTCAGCCCGAGTCTGAGGAGCAACAAGCAGGTTTTACTGGCTGGATCAGCATACAGCGGGCTATTAAAATGGGCCCACATCCTGACCTGGTCGAGCAGCTGTGCCTTCCTCCTGAGGAGTTCTGCCTCCTCCTTTAGTCGCTCATTTTGGCCTCGCTCATCCTCAAGCTGGCTCTCCTGTCGAAGACAATAAACTGCATCTTCACATTCTGTCTCCTTAGCCGTTACCGTACAAAGAGGATTTACAGGAAGTGAATATGGAGGGAGAAAGTGGGGCAAAGTGCTTACTAAATCCAGACATCTCTTCTGTCGCTTCTTTACTTCATGCTCTAGATTTTCACATTCTTTCCTCTTCTTRCTCAGCTCACGTTCCTGGATCGACACGGTGACAAAGAGTTACGGCAAGCCCGACTAGAAATGACTCCTAAAATGTGCATGCAGGCAAGGTCATTTGTAACAAACCTAACAGATTCTTTTTATTCACACTTTGTCAAACAGAATCCACTGACTTTAGTTTCAGTTTTGACCTCCGACACACCACCGCTGAGGTATTACAAAGCTTAGCATCCTCTAATTATTCTAAATGCAGCTTACATGCAGGAGAAGCATGGGAGAAAGCAGCTTATTTCAGCACAGCCACAGGACGTGAATAAAACACTCCCACAGTGACGGAGTGGAGGGAAGCTGCCGAGCAGACGGGCTAATTGCTGACCACCTGCAGCTGACTAGAAGAGATACGGTCCTCTCAGTGATGACACAGCAAGACAATAAAGATAATTAAACTGCAATCTGCGCTTCGATTTGGGAGATTGTGCCTCAGTTGCAGCTTTGAAGGTCAGAATAGCGTCAATCAAGTGAGGATGTTGTAGTTTTCATTACTGTTACGGATGGTAAATGTCCATTTTTCCCTTTCACTTGGATGAAGCTATATTCTGCTAATTAAGTTCATATCCTGATAGTATGACCTACCTCTCATCTGCTTTAAWACATCCAGACAGAACATTGGTCCTCATGCAAAAACCGTTCATACGCACAGATTTGTTCTTAAGTTGTGCGTACGAGTGAGGATTTGTGGCATTCACCAATGTTTTTGTATTCTAAGATTTTTTTTCAGATACGAACAAAATTCACGTGTGGTCCAGACCTGTCGTATATTATATGWGCAGTCAGTCTGCTGTTATCCAGATGGATTTTCCTCCCTAATAACTTTATATTTCATTAGTTTGAAGATATTTTGAGTTGAAAATAAATTACACTCTATGATTATCTTGACAATGGCTATTCTGCTTGAATTAGAGTTATAATTTTAAATGTAATAATTTAGACTAACAATATAAATTGCTTATACTTTTAGCAGCTCCTTTTATTCCACAGCTGACCTGCTAAAATTGACAGATTTTCTTTTCTGGATTTCTGACAGACAGACTTCAATCTCTGAACTCGTAAAGTTTTTCTTTTTTAGTTTTCGCTGTCATTTTCATGAATGGACACTTCCTGATATCTGAGGCAGGAAACATAGCCTTATATGGTGTTTTTGGGGTGGTAATTATGCTAATCTCCTCTCGCGTACATGAGCAGCTGGACACGAACAGGTGGAATTTATGCAGCTCATTTACACACTTTTCATGAAGATAGAAGAGTTTGTTGAATCTGACGTGRCATGTTCGTACAAACCCTTCATACGAACAAAAGTAAGAGAAATTTAGGATAAGAATACGAACATGTTCTTGCATGAGGCCCATTAGGTTTTCAGCCTTTTTGAAGTTGTCTAATTCAAAGGTCTTCAACCCTAATGCTCATGCATGTTTTAGCTGTTTCTCTGCTTCGGCACACCTGATTCAAATCATTCAATTCCAATTCAGAATGTCATCAAGTTTATCAGAAGCCTGTCAATCGCTCATTCATTTCAATCTGGTGTGATGAAACAGGACAACATTTTAAACATGCTGTGGGTCATGAGGGATAACGTTGAAGACCTCTGGTTCATTCAGTTCCCATAACATATATTACTAACGAATCTGTGGCTTAGTTCATATAATGCTAATGCTTTATCACCACATGTATATGCATTAGCTCTGGTGCTAAAGCAAAAGCAGCTCCGTTGTCCTCCATCATCTTTTTCAGTTTCAGCCTGAGTCATTTCTACCTTCTGCTCTCTGTCAAGGTGCTCTGGTTTGATTTAAAAGGACTGATTGTCAGATATTGTCCAAGATTAACCATCAGAAAGATTAGAGCTCACTCACAGCCTCACACACTGGAGCACCTAGTGAACATCAACATTACCAGAATTTTTTGCAGCTTAAATAAAATGTGCTGTCCGAATGACAATACATTTTTTTTATCTAAACAACCCACAGTATTTTTACAGTCTTTGTTTTACAATTGATGTAAAGGTTTATCAAATAAAGTCTTCTGTAACAACTAGTCGGGGTTCTCTTTGATACAGTATCAGTGGTGTCTAACCCCGGTCCTTGAGAGCCACAATTCTGCATGTTTTCAATTTTTCTCTGCTCCAAYACACCTGAACAGGATTCTGCATAACCTGAAGAGGTAATTTCGTTGCTGAATCAGGTGTGTTGGAGCAGGAAACAAAGAAAACCTTAAGGGATAACAGCAATCAAGGACGTGGTGCCTTCTCAGTGGAATTACTGTAGCTGTTTGTACGTTGGATCTTCACTCAGATGCCTGCAGGTTGCACAAAATGCAGCGGCCAACCTTCTGACAGGAAATAAATGTGATCATATCCTACCTGTACTGGCCTCCTTTTCCTGACTACCTGTCCTTATAAGGATCCAGTTAAATATTTCATTCCTTACTTTTCAGACTCAGAAAAASAAGAAACATCGTCTTTCAAAAGCAACAATCGGTGCCAAACTTTACTGATCAGGCTCTTATTGTAAAGAATCTGGTGACAGTGATATTTTTAAACAATGTGATAGTAGCATTGTTCTATGAGGTTTTACATTTGTTTATTATTTTAAGAAGGAAACAGGAAGTTTGTTTAAATTTAAAGACAATCTTTGGATAAAACAAGCTGATAATAACTTTAGCATTTGGTAACTTGTTTCAAAGAGTTAACATGTTTTATTGTGTTCAAAATATTCGAAAACTTGAATTTTACTTTAAGCTTACACATCATATTGATTRTTTAATCCTTCCAGATTACATGTAACAGAAACACTGAAGTGTCTGAGCTCATTCAGCCTGTCAGAGTCTCACCAACAGAACCAAAGCTGAGTGGAGCATTAATAGTTTCTCAGTGTTTCAGAGGCTGTGAGAACAATTAACAGATACTTTCAGGGCTTCCTTTGACAAACAACTCATCTGATCTGGGCTGGGACAAAAATCTTTACTGTTAAAACTGAGAAAGAGAGGACAAACCTTTAGGTTTTTATTTAAATCAAGTAAATCTTTAGTAAGCGTGTGCAAGTAGCCAGAGTATGAACCTGACTCCAACAGATGCCCTGACTAAAAAAACGTGTGCCAAGATTATATCTAAACTGTCAGTAATTATTAACTTTTAATACATATACGATCAACTTCAACAGACTATTTTTGCAGAGTTAGTGTTAAAGGCTCTGTTACACTACGGCATTCTGGACAGTCTTATAATGACATGTGAAAATTGTGTTCAACACTCTGGCTCAAAGAAAGCAGCCCATCCCAGCCTTATATAACAAATCTGTTAGCTCAGCTCAGTTTCTACTGATATTTAAGAATCAACTTCATGTGAAAAAGGCACAAAATCTGAGAAGTTAGACCTCAATAAGTTAGTAAGATATTTATTTTTCTGCTAAGAATAATTAAACAACTATTTGAAGGAAAGAACTCAATTAAAAAAAAACAGGTTCCATATAATAAACCTTTGGATTACTAATAAGCTACAATTCTAATGCTGAAAAACTAGTTCAGTGAGACGGAGCAAAGACCAGCAGGTGAGGAAACTGGGTGAGGAGGTGGAGTTCAGGGGAACACTGCTGTTTAAATCTGACAAACTGCCTTTTACAGTTCATAAAGCATTTTTTAACAAGGCGAGGCCATTTTGTTCCAATAAAAAACACATTTAATTTAATTTAATTTAATTTAAGCTTCTGTGGGCAGGTTTGGATACATTATTGCAGATGCAGAAATGTTTTGAAAGACTTTAGTTTTAGACTTTAGACTTTATTCCAATCTGACTAGTCTGAACCCAGCTGGGACTAATGTAGACTACGGCCTGTCTTTAAACAAGTCTAGTCTTTAAAGTTGTACTGTGGTTCATGTTTATAAACTTTTACATCAGTGTCAGTTTTTCACATCAAAACTATGTGCTTATTTATGAGTAAAAATAGCAGCGGCAGTTAGCTGTAGCACTTCTGGGCCAGCTTGGCTTTACTGGCTGGATTATTCGACCACTCATAGAAGTTTAAAAACACAAATTAAACACAGTTGTTCAGGCAAAAACATCATTTCTGCTGGAGGTGCTCTGGGCTGCACCAGAATTAATCGCAGAATTCTCTATAAATAATTTAATAATTCAAAACTGACAGCGACGTGAAGGTTTATAAAATGTTTGAATAAATGTTGAAGGAAGTATTCATAATATGTATTTCAACTACAAGTATGACATTTTCCATTCATAATACATGTTGGAGCCACATAAGTAAGATAATAAATGTTCACATTTCTTTTCCAGAACCTCCATTCAAAATAGTTTATTATAATATAATAACACATTTTAAGTGCCCTGGATGATCTAATTATTGCCTGTAAAYGACAGAATCCTTCTGAAATGTAAATATGTATACCAGCGCTCACCAGAAACTGTAGGCGCTGCTCCTCTGTGGGTCCCTCCTGAAGGGAGGGGGTCGGGCTAGGGCCCGGTGGGGGCGTTACTCGCAGCCACGACTCCTCCGCCTGTGCAGGAGTCTCCTTACACCTGGATGAAGCTTCATCTAACCCCGCACACAGGGTCTTCCCTAAAACCTAACAGGGACAGAAAGAACACTTTAGTTATTTTAAATTTATACATTTAAACTTAAAACGATGAAAACGCTATAAAAATCCTACTCACAGAGCAAACTGACAGCTCAGCAACAGATAACAGTTCAACTGAAACTAGACCCTAAAACTATTGAAAAGATTAGAAATGAACCTTTTCCAAGTGGTCCAACTGCAAGCAAAGAATAATCCAGAGGGAATCCCTCAAGCCTCCAACAGGACTGGATCACAGGGTCAAAAAGGTTTACAAGTTTTATTCGAAACTCTTAAATCAAATATTCTTCTGCATCTAACTTTGAAAACTGGTTCTGCAGAAGAAGAAGAACCCCTGATATCTGTTAAGAGTTAGGAGTTGGGAATTGGTGCCTAATTTTAGAGTAAACTTACTAATACTCGAGATAAAACTGTGCTAGTGCAGCCAAGGCCATGACCCAATAACAGGATCAGAGGCTCTTTGACACGTGCAGTCAGGGGATCTACTCTTTACAAGTCTTTGTTTTACAAAAGGCATGTTTTCCCAAGTAGCGCACTCGGGTTTTCCTGCTTAAAGTGAGAATTTTCATGAAGACAGTCACATTTTATCAAGAAGTATTTTTTGCTCTTTCATTTTCATATAAGAGATAAGTAGCTCTTTCATGCAGAAGCTATTCTTATACAATAAAATGCTAATTTTGGATAAAACGTGTTGGTCTGGAAGAATCTGAACTSATGTCACTGTGAGTGTTCAGTGACAAACCTGTGATCTGTCTGTTAACRAACTACATAATGTTTAGCTTTAAGCTACAAGACCAGATGGTGTTAGAAGGTGGTGACAAGAGGCTACCAGGAGGCACTAATTCCATTGGCTCCTACACACGAACGCAACAATAGCAGCATTGTTTTTAACAGGGATGCTGCGTTTTTTGTGTGTTTGTTCTTTCCAGGCTCTTCCGTAGGGATTGCTAAGGTTTTGTCAAGTCACAGATACAGGAACATCAGGTGATCGCTGCAGCTTGGCAAAACTCCCATTCTGTATTTGGTCAGACAAAGTTAAACCAGTCAATCCTCAGGGGATTTCTGATTAGCTTGTAGCACTTCATACTGTACACACTGAGTGGTGTTTAGCCGCTACAATCCTGCAGTCGTGCACAGACATCACTGGTTTCTGTCTTAATGGTGGAGCTCTGATCCAGAACACAAAAACGTCTATATTTGCTTTGAATAACAGCRTTAACTTAACATTTGAGTAATAGTAGAAGTAGCACATTTAAAGGCAAAAATAACTTGGATTATTTATTTATATATATGTAGCTTTTCTTACTGCAAGCTGTGTTTGGGGCATTTCTCAAACAACACAACTTAAGTTTCTTTGTACATGAAAATAAAAGTTTTTTGTTTTGACTGGATTGAAAAATTTTGTTTGACATTTTACCTTTGTAATATTCCAAAGATTTTTAAAAACATTATAGCACGGGGAGCCCTTGGACAAAACAAACTTGCTTTTTCATATTATTTAACATTTTTATTTTGTTTTTAATGTAAAGAACTTTGAGTTGCCATGTGTTTGAAATGTGTTATATAAATGAAGTTGCTGTGCCGGAMTGACGGATTTCTGCCTTCAAATGACTATTTTAATTAAAATAATTATATTTTAATGATTTATATACTCATATACTCATTTTCACCCTGTCAAATAGCATTAGATGGTCATAAAATATGATTTCTGTCAAAAACTGATCATGACTCATTCACTTAACATGAAATTAAAATGTTTCAGTCATAAAATGAAAACTTAATTTTTCTTTGAAGCTGCAACAATTTCTTGAAGACAGACACTTAGTAAAATAATATCTATCTTTGAGCAATCTAAGCTTTAAATGATCAGTATATGAACAACTGCTCTGAATCAACACCACTACAGGACCTTTAAGTGGTCTTACTCGAAACAAGAGACATTATAAAGACCAGAGAACTCTCCACACACAGAGTCAAAGTTGTAGAGAAGTACAGGTCAGGGTTGGAGTATTAGAAAAATCCCAAACCCTGAACATGCCACAGGGCTCACCAAAGCAAAGGGTCAAACACAAAACTTACAAAAGACAGACTGGGCAAGAAAAGAAGCAACTAAGACAGCAAATATAACCCTGATGAAGCATTTGCAGAGATTGGAGCATCGTAAGACCACTATAAGCTACAAAGAGCTTGGCTTTCACGAAAAGTGAACAGGACAAGAAACAATGTTTAAAAAAAATTATCAGATTGTTTAAAATGAGTTGAAAGTCATACTGGAGACTTCACAAACATGTGGAAGAAGGTGTTGAGACGTCTTTGAACTTTCAATTCAAAGAACATATTTCTGAAAYAATCCCAAAATCTCCCACAGTCAAGCATGGTGGAGGCAGCATCATGATGAAAAACTAGGAGCCTGGTTAGAGTTAAAAGAAAGATAGCCTGGTAAAAAAAAAAACAGCCCCTTGTTCTTTGCTTTGCTTCGTACAGAGGGTCTGGAACCTCGGCTACTGAGAAATGATTGCTTGCTGGAAGTGTGGACTCTGTTGAAGCTTAAAACGATTGGATCTGATTTTACCCAACCRCTAACATTTGGCYGTGAYGTTTGTAGTGCGTCAGATCGACCACGAAGGAAGCTAAGCTAAGAAGCTAAAYRAAAATTGCATGCRCTGTAAACAACCATCTCCGACTGGGAAGAAAAAAGTGCCGAGCCTCTTTCTCCGAYTGTAATTGCTCAATATTCAGAAGYCTTGTCAACACAGACTGAATGGCTTCATTTCCTTCCTTTGCTGTTATTGTTAAACTACAGGCAGACTACAAATTCTAAAACAGTGCAGAAGATCAACACCATCGTTCACAACTATAWCAGAACCCCTGTTCGCCCATTGGTCCGGTTGAAATTCTACCAGAGAAATCCAAGTCAGATTAGAATCGAGCAGAATTTCGTAGGAAGGCCAGGCTAAAGGATAGATGGATGGAGAGAAGTACGGGGAACGGTTTTAAGGAAACCTGAAAGGATGCAGGTTCACATTCCAGAAGAGCAATGATCCTAAACACACAGCTGGAGCAATCCTCCACTGGTTTAAAGATGAACAGTTGTGCAGGAATGGACCAGTCAAAGTCCAATCCAACTGAGCACTCATCCAACAAGCTTCAGCTGTAGTCATGAAGAATGGACAGACTCCAGTGGTTGGCTGTGTGACGCTCGGGGTGACACACCTGAGGAGACTTGTTGCAATGGTGATGCTACACACTATGGACCTTCTGGGAGGTAAACAGTAACACATGGCTAAGTTTTCTTTTTCTTTTTTTGTTTCTTTGATTGAAAGAAAATGTGTCTTCAAAGTAAACTAAAAAGATAAACTCCCTGGAAGGGTTTTTAGATTTCAGTTTGTAAATCAACATAAAAAAGACTAAGGGAGAGAAGACTTTTTCAACTCACTGTATTCTTGTCAAAATGTTATTTTCTTACTGTATTTGCAAATGCTAAATTATTAAGAAATACCACTAAAAAACAGTCAATATTTGTTTTTTTATTATTCTTTTTATACTGAAAAAAAAAGATGAAAAGGCAGCCGTTTTTCTAAAGGGAATGTTGGCGCTCCAAATAATGAGTTCAGAGCAGATCTACTCAGGGTTCAGGCAACATGTGACATAAATCTGACAGGGTTTTGACGAATGAACTCAGAGGAGAGAATATTACATAACACCATATTTATACAATGTTGTGATAACTGGCACCGAGAGCATCCCACCAAAGCTGAGGGTATTATAAATCATTTTAAAGGTTTATGTGCCAACACACTAACCTCATAAAACTTGTTTTGACTTAACAAGCTACACACATTTTAACAGTTTTTATCGGTTAACGATGCAAGCTGATTCATCTCAAGTAATAGATTCAGCTTTAGGAACATGTTATCCTACATTGTACTACATAAACTGTTATAACAGTAGTTAAAGGAGCCAAAGTAAAAAATACAAAAATGAATTTTTAATTTTCTATGGAGCACTGCTTTACCTACTTTTATGTGAACTGAATTACTGACCTGTTAAGGTGGAATTAATGTGGTTTTTATTCTAAACAGTTTTTTTTATGATTTCCACTTGACCTGAGCTGGAAGAAGCATTGACATTAATTTTTTTTATTTTGCAACAGAGAACTAAATGAAACCTTCAGTGCTTCACATTTGTCTTGTGCAGAGAAGTAATAATCTGTTTCAACATTTTAAATAAAGAAATTATTTAAATAAAGGTGAAAAGGGGGATCTCAGTTTGATCTGAATATCATTTTCTCATCATTGAAGAGGGGAAAAAAATTATAAATCAATTACAATAAGTAACAATAAGAAATAGTTTCACTAAATTAAATTCTCTTGCAGAAATAAAATAATTTGAATAATGGGAGGCAGTGTATGGTCAGACTTCAACGTCTTGGTTTGGTATGTGCTGGTTCATTACAATGGGGGAAAACAGAAGCAAAAGCCAAATGCTTTCTCCTCTCAATTTCATCCATCCATCCATCCATCCATTGTCTTCTGCCTATCCGGGGTCGGGTCGTGGGGGCAGCAGCTTCAGAAGGTAGACCCAGACCTCCCTCTCCCCAGCCACTTCTTCCAGCTCCTCCGGGGGAACTCCAAGGCGTTCCCAGGCCAGCCGAGAGACATAGTCCCTCCAGCKTGTCCTGGGTCTTYCTCGGGGCCTCCTCCCGGTGGGACGTGCCCRGAAYACCTCACCAGGGAGGCGTCCAGGAGGCATCCTTACCAGATGCCCGAGCCACCTCAACTGGCTCCTCTCGACGTGGAGGAGCAGCGGCTCTACTCTGAGTCCCTCCCGGATGACCGAGCTTCTCACCCTATCCCTAAGGGAGAGCCCAGCCACCCTGCGGAGGAAACCCATTTCGGCCGCTTGTATCCGGGATCTCGTTCTTTCGGTCATGACCCAAAGCTCATGACCATAGATGAGGGTAGGAACGTAGATCGACCGGTAAATCGAGAGCTTCGCTTTCTGACTCAGCTCTCTCTTCACCATGACGGACCGGTACAGCGCCCACTTTACAGCAGACGCTGCGCCAATCCGCCTATCGATCCCTTCTTCCGCCATTCGTGAACAAGATCCCCAGATACTTAAACTCCTCCACTTGAGGCAGGACGACCCCCCTGACCCGGAGAAGGCACTCTACCCTTTTCCGGCTCAAGACCATGGCCTCGGATTTGGAGGCACTGAGCCTCATCCCGGCCGCTTCGCACTTGGCTGTGAACCGCTCCAGCAAGAGCTGCAGATCTCGTTCCGATGAAGCCAACAGGACCACATCATCTGCAAAAAGCAGAGATGCGATCCTAAGGCCACCAAAATGGATCCCCTCAACACCTCGGCTGCGCCTAGAAATTCTGTCCATGAAAGTAATGAACAGAATCGGTGACCTCTCAATTTTATTTTATTTATTTATTTATTTGAAGTTTTATTTAACTAGGTTTACATTAATCTGTTTTTCAAAAGAAACTTGTCTTAATAAGCATACCCCCCAAAAAAATTTTAAATAAAAAAACAGAGACAGAGAAGGAAAAACAAACCATCTCTAAAGGAGGGGAGTATCGAAAGAGCTGAATGTCAAACAAATGTAATGATATTTAGGAAAAATTAGTTTTATCATGGAAATATGTGATATGGGTTGTCTAGGGGCACAAAACATTTGGATTTGGGTCGTATTTGCCTGCAGTGAGAACATAGTGAATGATTCCAAAGCTCACTAATTATGACTCAGTTGGCTTTTTATACGTCCACGTTTTACTTTCCTGTTCTGCCTGTATTCACAGGCAACCACGAGCTTCTCCACACAGGGAGGTGTTCTGGTTCTTTCATCTGAAGGATGAGATCCTGCTTTGCTTTCATATAAAATACTTTAAATATTATCTTCCTCTACTGCTTTCCTGGTGCGACATTTATCAAAAGGTGCATCCTCTTGTAGGTGAGAGTGGTGATTGTTTGTGATTTTATCCTTTGTGTGAATCCTGGCGTCAGTAAAGTCATGTTTCAGAACAAATGCAGAAATTATTACATCTCTAATAAGAAGGGAGGCTATCCACTGCAACTCCTATTAACTGGTGTTTTGTTGTTAAAACATGAAATAAACCCTGAACTAAAACATCTAGTATCTATTTGACTTGTTAGATATTTCTGCTTTAGTTTATTATTAAATTTATGTCACCAGTCATTCATAATATGAGGCTTTGAAAATTTAAGCTGACAAACTGATTTTATACATTTATATTTAACCAAACTGTATTAAACTCACTATTGAATGAATGGGATTTGTTTTAAACAAATTTGCCACAATTATTTTCTTTAACACTCCAGGTCATGATGAAGCATTAAAAAAAATCGCAAGTAGACTTAAACAAAACAAATTATAATTTTATCCGGTGACAAGAAATCGAATGGAAATATGTTACATTACTGTCAACATTAAGTTGTTAAAATGACAAGCAGCAGATTGTATCGGCTGTCAAACTTTAAAACTAAAATAATAGTTAAGTTATTAACTAATAAAATAACTAAGTAACTGAAGTGCACACCAAAATCATCAAATACATTAACAAAGCATCTGATGAGTAAAAAAAAAATAAAATAAATAAAATGATGAGACATGATGATGATGACATCTGATGAGTATATTTTTATTATCTTCTGAGCATCTTTGGGATTTTTATGGGKTTTTTTTTAGATAATATTAGGTTTATTATAATTTAATTTTTAATTTCACAGTTTGTAATTGTAAAACATTCTTGATTTTTTTCAGAAATAAAAACTTTAATTTCAGAATTAGTTTATTTTTAAGCAGAACAATAATCAGAAATGACTACTGTATTTATAACTCCACAAACCCTGTTGTATTAAATGAAAACATCCTGTGTGTCATGAACTATCTTACAGTTAAAATGTCCAAAACTGACAAAACTGATTTTAGATATTTCTACAAATCTATTTCCGTTTCAGAACCAACAGAATAAAAGTACATCTGAAACGAATCTCGGTCTGATGAGATGAAGAAGGTTCCTCCTCAGACTGAGCAGGTTGAGGTCAAAGCTCTGAAACTCACTTTGCACGATGAGGTGAGGCTACGACGTGACACCGATGTGGTCCAGGTATTCTGAAGTATCTAGCACACACTGGGACCACGCGTACTAAAGCGGGGTCAGATCCCATTCAGCAGGTCCTGAATGCCATAAGTACATTGGTGTAATCCCYGTGGACTGCTGAAACGGGTAACTGGATCACTTCTTTTAAAAGCACCTTAATGGATTGGCCTGGCCRTTGATTTTCATTTTAATGCGGAGCATATCGATGTCCACCAATCAAACCTTCTGACACGTTGTCACTAATTTGCTCCGTCTCAATTGTGCATCTGGATGCTCCGAAGCATGGCAGTTACAAAACCGTTTTTTTTTTTCTGACAGGCTGCGTTTGACTAGGCCTCATGATGGCTCTGTGTCTGATATATATGGAAGTGGCAGGCAATCATAAACGACTGATTTACTGGAATAAAAAAATAAAATAAAACTGACAGCAGATCTAAAAGAAGAAACTTTGATTACAATGAGGTAAGAATAAATATGACCATGCTAACACAAACACAATAAATTACAGCTTTTGCTTTACTCTTGATTTGTCATGACTGATTTGCTTTTCATTTTACGTCCTGCACAAAACCCAATGAGTGTAACCAAAAAGAACTACAGTCAAAAATGAATATCTTAACACAAAGACACAACAACTTAAGAATAACCTACCCCTTCTGTGCAATGTGGGGAAACTCAAGGCCTGCTATTTATCCAGAGCAGGAGAGGAGGGACAAAAAAAGTCCTCAGTGCGGCTGTAGTCTTACCTACCACCCAGAACCCTCTCAGCACTGCTCCAGCAACACAGAGCGGATTACTGGACTGTACCATTCTGTTGTTAGAGGGGATTAGAGTTCACACAACATGGCCCCTTTCTGGGAGTGCGTGCCTGTGTCCCACAGATGAGAGATTACCACAATCGGCATTCTCCTTTGAGCTTCAGGGGCTGAGATTTTTACTTCATGATCAGAGGAGTCCTTGATAAAACCAATAAGGTTTTGAATATAAATATGCATACGCAAAGGGATTTTACCTGATCATATGATGACAAATACTCACTGCTTTGAATACATCGAATTTGGCAAATCCCACAGTAGTAGGCAAAGTCACAGATTCATAAAATCCATGTTTTCTTTCATCTCATATCTGAACAGTGGATATCATAAATGAGTGAGAGTGAAGCAGGGAGTGAAAGCACAGAAAACAGAGACGATCAGCTTTAATGCAGAGAGGATCAGAGTGTATGACTTTGGTAGCTTTGATCAGGCACAAAGTAAAGGCAGGGAATCGCCTCATTATGGCTTGTGGCAGATTAGTATGAGTCCAACGACAAGCCATTATATAACGCAGCAAAACAGCATCCATGCTAATGTAAACATAGGGTTTGGGAACAACTCAGAGGGTTATATTTCCCAAATGTTTAATCTCAACAACACAAATGCTGGTTAGCTTGTAGTTGACCCAGAACACTCAAATCTTTGATACATACGCAAAGCTCGGCTGTTTATAGGAGAAACAGGGTAAATCAAATAGAAGTCAGGATGATGGTGATTTTACCTCCTCTTGACTCGCCTCCTTGGTGTTTTCCTCGCCCCTCTCAGTGCCGTCGTGGTCAGAGGTCTGGTTGTGCTGCTGCCTGGTGGAAGTGACCGACAGCTGCCTCTGAAGCCACAACACCTCCTTCTGAGACACCCGGAGAAGGTTTTCGTACTCCATCCTGCCACACTGAACTGAGCCCTGCGAGGACGCAACAACGCCATCATTTAACACATTAACGCGCCCCATTCTTCCTATTTCATTGCCTTACAACCTGAGAGTGAAACAGATTTTTGAATGAAGCCAAATAGCTGAAAATGACTTGTTTTGAATAGGTCTAAAAATATCAAGAACATTTGCTTTCCCTCTCTGATTTGAAGCTCCGCCCACCTTCAAAAAACAAAGAATTAAGATCCAACTGTGGGCAATTTAGTTGTTATAGTAATAAGGGTTTCCACAAAGCAACAGACATCATGAAGACCAAGGATCTCTCCACACACGTTGGTGACAAACTTGTAGAGACGTACAGGTCAGGGTTGGTTATAAAAAGATGATCTCAGTCTCTGAACATCCCAAAGGATAATTAATAAATCCATTATTAGAACATGAAAAAATCCTGCCAGAGCTATAAACCTTTAAAAATACAATTAATACAATTAATACAATATGTTGTATATGTTAATACAATGTACAATTAATAAGGCCCAATTACAGAAAAGTAGAAACAAAAATTCAGTTCTGCCCCCAGTACCTGGGATGTGGAGCTCATTAAAAAAATAAAACAGTCTGTTTATAATTTGCCAAAACGCCTTTTGGAAACTCTTCAAACAAGAAACTCACAAACCACAGACYTCAATTCAATCAATTATCTTTGATTTCATTTAAAATCTGTTGAACACAAGCAGCACCCACCCAACCTGGAGGAGCTGGAGATGTTTTTATCTGCTGTTCAAAAAACATTTSTGTAAAAATATTTGATACACTCAAATGTTTTCAAACTGTACTGCTGAATTCCTAAACTCCACAAATTTGTATTTAAAAAGTTACTATAAAAATAATTGATTGTAAAAATAACAGAATGGCCAACATAACACAGCTAAAAAAATTATTAAATAAACTTATAAAAAATCTTGTAAAGTGTTACAAACACCACAAACTTAAGAGTCTTTTGAACTGGCTGTTGTGCTGTCTAATTCAACATTCAACCCAAACATTCACTCTATAAATACTCTGCTCATCCACATAAACCATTTTAATACAACTGACAGATGTTGGCATTAAAGCTGGTAATTACAAACAGGCATTGAGAAGGGCAGCCTATTCTTGCACTGTCATCTATGTAGACATCAGTGGTGACGCAGCCTTTGTAATACAGCTTTAGCARGAGGTTGGGATGAGTAGTACCGGTTCCGCCCAGCAGAGAGCAGACTTGAGAAGATGAGTGGAGCAAAACGGAGCACTAGATTTAAAACTTTGGCTTTTAAATCAAGAATAAACTCTAAAAAAGCAGTGGCGCTCTAAGTTTTTTTTTATTACCTTGACTGTGCCAAGCCGTTCCTCCAGCTCTCTGCACTCCTGCTGYAGGGCGGCTATCTCTTTGTCCTTTGACAGCAGGACATCAGCATGCCGGGCCAGGTCCCGAGCTCGCTGACGGGCAAACGCTTTTTTATACTGCTCCACAGAACCAGGTCTCATCAGGGACGGGGAATTAACCTGAATGAGAAGAACAGAGCTTAGAGGCAAACCCTTGAGTGAAAGGAAAACWAAACAAAACCAACATGACAAAGAGTTTGATGTTAAGAAAAGAAACAAAGAACGACAAACTTCCAGAAAGTCTCATTGTGGTCTTTATAAATCCACACACAGTATCAGCAAACTGTCAGAATGAGGACACTTGTTAAAACCAAAAAAATCTGAAGAAGTTTGATGCAGCTCCTCCAAACACGTCCATGAGTGTGTCCCCAAATGTGTTCCCACCAGAGAGGATACACATCTAAACATCCTGAAGTATGTCTGAAATTAGGGGTAGTTTTATACAAGAGGATTAGACTTTTTATGCTTTTTAAGCTCATTATACATGAATAAATACAGTAATTAAGACTTTAAAGTGATGCATTTACAATAATGGTTGCTGGTACTCCTCAGTAAAGATCTTAATCACATGTTTTGTGAACATCTCATCCTCTTGTGTTGATTTGGACAGCGGTGCATCAGAAGCTACTTGACAGATCTATACACACAGCTGGGGGAGGCAGCTTCAGCTGTGGAGTTCAAATATTTCATACCACTTTGAGGTTAGCCTCCTGTAGTTTGCGAGCTCTATCTTCCAGCCTCTTAGCGAGAACGGTCAGCTCAGTGTTCTTCCTCCTCAGCCTCCTGACCTTCTCCTCAGTCTCAGGAGCGCTGCTCTTTCGCTGAAAACACCAAACACAAACGTCACAATCAGACTAAACAAAATGAATGAGCACAGGAGCATCAAAACAAGAACAATAACAATCAAATACTTATTTGGACTTCATGGGAGAGAGATTCAGCCGCCTGTGCAAACTTTGAACATTAAGTACAAAAAGAAACGTTGAGCTCTTTATAAAATGCATAAATGCCTGTAAAAAAGAAAYAAAAATTGCTATGAAGTCTTATTGTTAACTGTTCTGTGGACCTGTCCTAGTTTCTGCAAAGTCTTTTATCAAGGGTGCACACACAGTTATTTTTAGTCCTACCAGCAGGCCATTCTCCTCCCTCAGYGTGTTACAAGTCTTCTCCAGTTTGTCGAGGGCTCGCATGAGTTCTGAGTTCTGTCGCACCAGGAACCCATAATCTGTACCGTTCTGCAAAAGAACCAAAGAAAGAAACCTCAGTTTACAAACGATGACCTTTACTTTTTATAAAACTCTCGGACGACACAAAGTGTCACTTTTGAATTTCATTTCTGTAGAGCAGATTTCATTTCAAAACAGAACTTGCAATGAGTTGATCATTTCTGAGTTCTATCAAATAGCTGCTGATTCACTGAGAAGACTTTTCATTTGTCAGTCTTTTTAGTGTACAACTGACACTGTAATATAATCCATCAATTCAGCCTGAAATGAAGAACTCCTTTCAGTCTGGATTAAAAAATGAATTAAAAGATGAACTGTAGGAAAATCAAACATAATATTAAATGCTATTTAATGCTATTTAATGCTATTTAATGCTATTATTTAATGCTATTTAATGCTACTAATTTAAGTATATTTGTTGAGTAGAAATTTCAAGTAGGGCCTATTATCTCAGATAAAGCTCATCTCAAAGACTAGTTGTAAGTCACTGTTCTACTTTTTCAATAAACATATAACAATTTTATGTCTTTATTAATCCTAAGTATTAAAAAAATGCACTTCAAATGCCTGGAAAATGCCATTTTGAGTAGATTTTTTCTAAATTTTCTGGGGGGTATTACCCTCCCAGGAGCACATCACACCGTTGGCATGTGCTAAAATATTTAAATGTCCCTCATTGCCACAACTACATGTTGACAGGTATAAAAATATTTGCCATAATCATGTCCAGTGTCATATGCTGTGGCAGAGTGCATCCGTAAAGCATGTAATCAATAAAATAAAATATTCACCCTTTCTATCAAAAGGAGGCAAATTTGATATAGTTATATCAATCATTAGTAAGAAAAAACAAATAGATTTAAACCTCCTACTCCTAGTATTTAAATGATATTTAGACGTCTGTTTTAACAGTTACTCATTACCACAGAAAAAATGGAAATAAGAAGACTAAATTTTCCAGGTACATTAATAACTGTAGTATTAATTTGCTCCACTTTTAAGCGCCCTCTACTGTAACAGTTCCAGGCGTTTCACTAATGATTGAGTAATCTGCTGAGCTTTAACTGCAGAGACGGCTGAGCAGAGCAGCAGTCAGTGTGGCAGGTCATCTCTGTGGTAATGAAGACTAATGTGTTCAGCAGCACATGGATGAAGTCTCGCATTAGTGTTTCCTTTAAACGGGAGTGAAACCAATCTGTTTCTGTGTCGAGGGGGTTTGTTAATGAGCCCTGAGGCTCAAGAGGGGAAGGTGGGAGATACGCCGGCTACACATGAACGCTGTGGGCTAACAAGAGGTGGACAGACGAAGCAGCTGGTTCCCTTTCAGTCAATTCACTCGGTACAACATCATGCCATCATGTATGGGAACCCACGCTCCTGCGTGTTCTGGCTGAAGCCACCTCTAATCACGCCTTTAGGCAGGTGACGTGATGACGACAGATGTCAGGCTCCGCCTGCACATATATATACTGTCGCATCACAGTCACTCCTTAGTTCTACTGCTCTTCACCTCGCTAGAACACCTCTCCCAACCTAGCTAATTAGCTGCTGCTAACTAGCTTTGTTTGCTCGAAGGTTCTCGAATTTAGTTTAACAGCTTTTGTTGGTGTCAGCTGCAGCTGCCTACTGGTAACTGTGTCTGCCCGCGGAACGCTTACTTTGAGACACCTTATTTTATCTCGACGAAGGAGTGAATTTTGTGGTTCGGGGTGGCACAAAATTACTCAAGAAGAAGCAGAAGTCTTCAGTTCGCCCCTGTCCCCAGGGGTGCAGCTTCTCGCTCCACAAAAAGGACCAGCACGAGGCTTGCCCGGTCTGTTTGGGGGTCGTCCACGCTCGTAGGACGTTGACGGAGCCTGAAGCGTGTGCGTTTTGTCGCCTGCTTTAACGCTCAACCCTGAAAAGACGGGTTAAGTTCTTRGAGAAAGTGCTGGGCGAGGCTGTAGTCGCGCGCCAGGACCCTTTCCTCTCCGAGTCTAGCAACCCGGTTCCGTCCGAGTCTGACAAGGAGGAGCTCTCGGTCGAAGTCCCCGCTTCCAACTGGGCAGACCAAGTGGAGTATATGGAGGGGTTAGCCGACGAAGAGGAGGAGGCCTCCCAGTTTCATCTGGACCTCCACCATGGAGGGGAGGAYGTGCTGGATATCAGCCTGGATATACATGGTCTGTCAGAAGACGACGATGAAACCRGTCCGAGTCCAGGAGCCCCCGCTGCTGCGGGTGCAGACCAGGACACGTCTTTTCTCTCTTTGTGTCGTCGTGCGGCTCAGAAACTGGAGGTGGAGAGGCCTGCCCCACCTCCTGCACAAAAACCGTCGTGGTTCACTGGATTTTTCCTCCCCACTGAACCGACCACGGTGAAGAACCGCCTCCCTATGTTACCATACTTCGTCTCGGAACTAACGTCCTGCTGGACCAAACCTCTGTCCACCGCGTCACAGTGCCCGGCTATGGACCGTATTTRGATTTGGAAGGAGCTGAAAAGGCTGGACTGGTAAACATACCGCCCATGAAGCCATCCCTAGCAGCTTATCTGGCCCCGTCTCACAACCAAGGTGTGAGCGGGCCCACCACGCTCCCTTCCAAGCCCTGCAGATTTTCTGCTGCGCAGTTAGAAAAAATCTACAAAGCTCAGGCCACCGCCGCTCGCAGCCTGAGCTCCATCAGCATGCTCCAGACTTACCAGGCTATGGCTCTGGTGGAGCTCAGAGCTCAGGTACCGGCCGAGAGTCCCCTGCTGCCTCTCTTAAACGAGATCCGACTCACCGCGGACTACATCTTCCGTGCATAGCACTCTCCCTGGGCAGAGGGATGCGTCAACCGTGGTGGCGCAGAGACATTTGTGGTTGACACTCTCTGATGTCCCCGACAGAGACTGGGCCACATACCTGGATGAACCAGTTATGGCGGCTGGGTTATTTGGTCAGTCTCTCGACATTATCCAGGCAAAGTTCGAGCTGAGGAAGAAGCAGGCAGAAGCTCTGCGCTACATTATCCCCAGACGGGACTCGAAACCCAAGACCAGCACTCAGAAGCCAGCCACACAGCCGCCTCCGGCGAAGAGAAAGGTGCTGCCCGGGAGCCTAGGCACCCAACCACTGCAGCCTCATCACCACGGCCAACCGTGGGGGGGGGGGAGATATTTCACTCACACCCAGAGTTGTGGAGGCTGCACGCCTACCTGCTGAAAGGTCCTGCTTACTAGCCAGGGGCCTTCC